ACAGCGGCGTCGGCAGCCCCTCTAGGCGCCTCCATCCCGCAGCGGCCCCAACGCGGAACGAAGGGGCGGCGAAACGACGGCGCCGTGCGACCGCTTGAGCCCGCTTGAGCCAAAATGGCTACGGAATCGCGGAGGAGGAGGGAGGAGGAGGAGGAGGAGGAGGAGGAGGAGGAGGAGGAGGAGGAGGAGGAGGAGGAGGAGGAAGATGAGCGGGTGGCGGACCGCGGGTTATCGCGCGGCCGCCTCGTCCGCCAGCCACGCGACCCCGCGCGGCAGCGGGCGCTCGCGCTACCGCGCGCAGGCGCCTGCGCGCACGGCGCGCAGGGCGCGCGGCGTCTGCGGCGAGCCTCTGCCGCCGACTCTGCGACGTGGTCAGCGCAGCGGTTGCCGAGCCAGTAGCAGCGGGCGATCTCGGGCGCGCCAACCACCTCGCGCCACGACAGGCGAGCAGGCACTTTCCCGACGGAGAGCCTGCCGGCGCAGAGGCCGCCGAATTCGTCCAGCAGCCATCGGCCCCGCGCGCCGCGGCGTGCTGCGACCCGCGCTCCAGCGGCCCCTCGCGCTGTCCACGGCCGCCGCGACGGGAGGCGTCGAGAACCTGACCGCCACGATCTGCCATCAGCCCCCCCCCCATTGGCGCCCGCGCGCGGCCGCGCGCAGCAACGCGCCGAAGTTCCTCTCCAGCGCGATGACCGCCCACGCCGCGCCAGCGCACTGCTCGCAGCCGCCCTCGGTCTGCGACTCATCCAGGAAGAGCTCGCCAGACAGGAAGAAGCCCTCGTACTCCCCGAGCCGGCAGATGCCAGGCTGCCTGGGCGACAGGGCGAGTCCGCGGGCGACGGCAAGGCGCCCTCTCGAGCAAGCGCTCCACCTCGGGCAGGTCGGGCCGCTCCACCAGCAGGCAGAACTCGCCGGGCAGGCGGAGACCAGGCTGCCTCCCGGCGCAGCCACTGCGCCCGTGGAGTAGGGCGCCGTTCTCGCCGAACAAGAGGCACAAGAGTCCATGGTCCATCTGCCCGCGAAGGTTCCTGAACGACGGCAACTCCGACGCCGGCCCAGGACAGGCCGCAACGGCCCGCAACGCCCAGCGGCGGCACCAGCGACGCCGCAGCATCGCCACTCGCAGCGACAGCAGCAGCAGCAACCCTCCAGGCCCACCGTCGAACTCGTCGTGCGACGAGACCATGGACGCCACGCGCCTCGGAGACTGCTCGCGCCACTCCTGCTCGTCGGTGTCGACGTGGCTGCGCAAGCGCACGCGGCACCTCACATCCCGCGCCGCCTTGCAGAAGTCTCGCGCCGCGCCGCGCGACCAGACCACTCCGACGTCGTCGCTGCGCCTTGTCCAGCACCGCCAGGACCTGGAGATAGAACTTCGCGAAGGCACGCAGACGCCTCTCCAGCAAGATCCCCTGGCACACGGCAGCCCCGCGCGCGGGGCCCTGGCCCTCCCCCGGCCACCTCATGAGCAGCTCGACGACGCCTCCCTCGGACAGGTGCTCCGGCCCAGGCCGGCCGCAAACCTCGCGCCACCGCCAAACGCGCGCCGCCCGCGGCAGCAGGCGCTTGACCAGCCAGGGCCCCAGCTCAAAAACCTCGCCGACAACGCCCGCGCGCGCGCGAGCCAGGGCCCGGCGCGCAGCGCGGCCAACCCCGCGCGCTCCAGCGACAGCCGCACGGCGCTGAAAGCCGAGGGCGCGCAGCGGAACCAGATGCCCTCACGCGGCCCAGAGCATCATCATAATGGGCAGCAGCGTCGCTCCGTGCATCGGGCCCAGCACGGGCGCCAGCGCGGCTGCGAGCGCGCGCGATCGGCCAGCAAAGCTGGGCGCCACAGCCGCGAACGCCGCGGACCAGAGCGCGCCTGGCCCCATGGCGGCGCAGCCCGTGACCGCGAAGCCGCGCGGCGCGCTAGGCTCAAGACCAGCCCCGGCCACCTTGCGCACAGCCTGCCTCAGCCAAGCCCCTGTCTTGAGAAGCGCCACGCGTCGAAGCCGAAGACCAGCTTGGACGCGCCCGTCGCTGCGCGCCTCGCGCGCGATGCGCCTGCCGCGGGCGAAGTCCACTCATGGTTCGCGTTCCCCCCTGACCGAGACCACCCCGCAGTGAGCTGCGCAGCAGGGCAACCAGCTGGCGCCGAGCTGCAAGCAGGCGCGCTAGCGCCCTCGACTTCCAGACCGCCACTTTGAAGCCCACGTCGGGCAGGAGCGTCTTCGACTCGAGCGCCGCCTCCGCCGCGCCCTTCGCCCCGCGAATCAAGCCCTCCACGCGTCGCAGCATGAGGTCGCCCGCGGCTGCGGTCAGCAGGCCGTCGGGCGCTGGCGGGCCAGGCGACCAAGGGGCCCGATCAAGATCAGCTTCAGCACGGATGTCGCGAAGCCGACGCCAGGCAGGACGGGCTGCCCCGCCTCGATGACCTGGGAGGCAGCGCTGCCCATGCAGAGCACCCTCGGCGCGCGGCGCAGCTCGATCTGCAACCGTAGGCTGAATGGCGCGGCCGTGGCCGCGGCGAGGAGCCCGCGGCCACGGCCGCGCCATTCAGCCTAGGGCGGCGCACCTGCTCGAACGCCTCGAGCAAGTCGAGCAGGCGCAGCCGCCGCAGGCCGAGCTCGGATCTCGCGCCTCAGCCCGCCCCCCCCCCCCCCCCCGGCACGCACATGGTCGACGCCGACCCGCCCGCCCCCGGCGGCGCCGAGGAAAACCTGCCAGGCAGCAGCGCGGTGACCCCTGCAGTCTCCATCGTCCAGAGCCTTCTCCTGCGCGCTGCAATCGAGGCTGACCATCTCCTGCGCGCTCTCCAGCGCGCCCTGCATCTTCTCCCCCTATGGGTGCCAGCGCTCAGCATGGCCCACTCTGGCGCAGCCAGCGGGCCTCTCGACAGGGAAGGGCTTCGGCAGCTCGACCACCCTGGCCCCGCGCATCGCGAAGAACGAATCAATTGACCGCTTCGTCTGCGCGCGCGCGCCCCTGCGTCGACGACGACGCCGGAGGACTTCAGCGCGCCCGACTGCGCGAACTCCTGATTTGCACAATTGAAATCGCCGCCAACCAGCGAGGCAGGTCGCGCAGCGCACAGTAGCTGAACGCGCCGACGCCAAATCCAGACTCGAGGCGCCACGACGACTCCGCCCCGAGCGGCGAAGAACGCGAAGCCGCCCATCTCGAAAGACCGAGGGTCGGGGGCCCCTCGCGGCGGCCAGCCCGCGCTGGCCGCGCATGCAGGTGAGAGCACCACCAAGCGCAAGCTTGCCAGCTTGCGATGGGATCGCCGCGGCAACGCCAGCACGTGGACCCCTACGACGAAGCTCCCCTGCAGCATCCGTCGCGCGCGCCGAGCTCAACGACGTCTCTTGGAACAGCAGGGCGTCGCAACCAACCCGCCCCTCTGCCATGCACTTGTCGAAGATGATGAACGTGTTCATGCTGAGAGTAGCCGCCTTCCAGCTACCGCTACTCCAGACTTGGCTGCTTGGGGTTGTCTGCGGCTTGCTGCTGCTGGATAAGGGCCTGGAACTCCTCCGCGAACTTGCGCGCCTCAGGGTCGCTGCCGCAGAAAGCGCCGGAATCGGCGAACATTGAGAGAGACGTCGCCATCCGAGTCGACGTCGACCTCCTTCGACTGCCCGAGGGACTTGTCGCCAGCAGCCACTCAGTGCGAGCTGACAGGCGTCGCGGTGCCATCGGCGCCTGCTGCATATTCCCCGAAGATGGGCTTGCGAATTGCAGCGTCGGGATTCATGGCATCAAGCAGCGGGCGAAGCGGCTCTGCAACCTCGCCGCGCTCGGTGCCGTGCATGCCTTTGGCGACCATGTGCGCCAAGCCGATGTACTTGCTGACCAGAAGCGCCGCAGGAGGCTGAGGTGGCGCAGCACGCGCGGGCTTCGCATCGGCAGCCACGGCCGCCTTTGCCTTCGCCGCCGCCGCGTCGAGCTCGAGGTGGAGTTTGGCGACCTTATCCTTCTGCATGTACGCCGCGTGCAGCGCCTTCGCAGCCAGCTTCTGCTTCTTGCCGTAGTCCACCTTGGCCTGCTGCAAACGATTGCAAGCCTCGTCAACGGCCACATGCGCCGACTTGACGATTTTGACCTCCGGCAGCATGCCCACCTCCTGCTGCAGCAAGAAACGCAGCTGCCGCAGGCTGTGCTTGTCCCTGGCGGCCAACGTGACGGACAGCAAATCAAAATCGTCGTCGGTGAGGGCCAGGAAGCGCTCGCAAGCCAGGAAGCGCTCGCGGGCCTCAGGCGTGACCATGGGCGGTTGCGCCACAGAGCTCTCGCCACCTCCCCAATCGGGTCACTGCGTGGTGAGCCGAGGACGATTTGTCCGTCTCCATGCGCCCACGCGCCAGGAGGAGGAGGAGGAGGAGGAGGAGGAAGAGGAGGAGGAGGAGGAGGAAGGTGATCGCGAACAGGAAAAATACGTTGAGACATCGGCCGACAGCCAGCCCACCCCGCCAGCCGACACTTGGCGCGCCAGCCCGGGTTCTTGTAGTGGCAGCGGTCGCCTCGCCACCGACCCCTGCGCCGACGCTCCAGCTGCCAAGCCGCCGCCGCCGCCGCCGCCGCCACCGCAAGGAAGAGGCACCATGCGGGCCGAGCGATGGAAGACTTGCTGTGGACAAGCAGTTTCCAGTCGTGCCCCGCCGTACCAGCATCTTGAGCCAGAATGGCTACGGAGAAGACGAGGAAGAGGAGGAGGAGGTGGAGGAGGAGGAGGAGGAGAGGACAAGAAGGAAAAAGAGGAGGCGCGCGGCGCTTCGAATTCAAAACAAGGACCCAACTCCACAGGAAGGTTGGGAAAAACGCAGCATATGCATAAACTCTCGGAGCTCCGCGCGGATGTCTTGGATCGGCGCTGGACTCCCCTGGAGACGCCTCCGGCGCCGCCCCTGGCGCGCTCCGGCACCGTCAGGGATGGGGGTCCAGCGCCGATACAAGAAATCCGCACGAAGCTTGCAAAATACGTGTATCTACCGTGTTCGCTCTTCTTCGTCAGCGTCCTGCAGGTCGACCGCATACAGGCCGCCCTTCATCGCGTACGCCACGCGACGGCGGGGCAGCTTCGCCTGCGGCACCCAGCATGCATCCACGCACCAAATCTCATCGCTGGCGGGCCCCTCCAGCGGGCTCAAGGCGGCTGCAACCGAGCTCCGCCTGCTCTCCACGTCCCACACCTGGACCGTGAACTGTCGCGAGCCATGTGCGCATAACCTGCCCGCCAGCAGGCTGTGGAAGCGGACGCTGCCGTCGCGCTCCTGCACCGTGCGGTCTGGGCTGAACCGCAGGTCCACGGCTCCCCAGCCTGGGAGGCGCTCGATGTATGCACCGCGTCGTTTCGTCGGCACAGGAGCCTGGTGTATTCACGCCCCAGCTGCCCAACCTGTAGAACGCTGGAGCGTCTATACGCCGCATGACTCCGTCGAGCTCGTGGGCTCCATAGTCGACCAAGCGACGTGCGAGCCCCTCTGACAGCCTCCGTGACCGTCGGCGGGCGGCGCGCTCGGCGAGGGCACCTGCAACTGGAGGTCCTCCCAGCTGCTCCAGTCCTTCCAGGCCTGGCCCTTCCCCTGCAGGGAGAGGCGCACCATGCGGACGCGGCACTGGTCCTTCTCCCTCACCCCCACGGCGAGTGCGGCCTCCGCGGAGCGCGCGTTCTTGCCCGCGACGGCCGGCCAGTAGTGGACCGCGGCGGCGTCGAGGCGCCCTGGGATGCCCTCCCACCTGCTCGGGGAAGGGAAGGGCGTCGTGCGCATGAGGGCGCAGCGACATTGCGCGCTGGCTCGCGCAGGCCGCAGACGTGGCACCCGCTGTGTGAAAAGGAGGCGCTCACGCGCGCCCTCGCGCGGACACCTTACTTACGCGTTAAAAGGGCCGCGCAGTCGCTCCCAAAAACCCCGCCTCTGGGCAAACACAAACGTGCCGACCACCTCTACTCCCCGACATGTCCCAGGGTGCGTTCTGACAAGAACTTCGAGAAAATTCAGCCGCGGCGACGAGGGCGCTCCACAACGAGCCGCGGTATCCGTTCCTCCCCTGCCCCTTCTTTTACGCTGCCCGCCTGTGGAGCAGCGACCACCCGGGGCTCTCCTCCAGGAAGACCTCGACCGCGGAACTGCTCTCGGCGTCCAGGTCCTGGGTGCCGCCTCCTGCGTCGAACAGCAGCGCGAGCACCGGGCCGTCGAGGGCGATGTGCTTCAGCCGCCGGCGCGCAGTGTCCTCAAAGGCGGTGCCGCCGCTCCACACGCTGCGCTGGGTCACGGCGCCCAGGGCGGTGAACCTCAGGACGCGGACCTCGCCGTCCGTCAGCTCCGTGCTATCGTCCCGCTGGCGCAGCTGGCTGCGGCCCGCCAGCGCGACGGAGCCGCCGCAGGGGGTGCATGCCGCCAGGAGCTCCAGCGTGCCCTTGTGCGCGGTGCTGAAATTCGTGTGGACCAGCGCCTCTCCGGGTGCGCCCACCCAGCCCGTGCTGAGCTCGATGCGGGCGCCGCCCGGCTGCTCCATGGCGATGGCCATTCTCACCTGCCGCCCCGCCGGCTCTGACGGGGGCACGGAGGCCATCGCCCTGACATGGGTCCCAGGCTGCAGAGCCCATTGCTGCTCCACCTCCCCAGACGCGACGCTGATGGCCGTCAACGATCCCGCCCCAGCCGCCTCACTCGAGACGAGGAGCGTGTCGACGTCCGCCCACGCGAGCGCCCAGAGCGAGCCGTTCCTTTTGAGCAGGCAGCCGTCCTTGAGGTCGCGCAGGAAAACCTTCTCGACCCTCCAAGGCACAGGGCCTTCCACGCTCCAGATCGCGATCTCCATGCAAGTCTCTCCGAAGGCGTCGCTGGCCCCCTTCACAGTCGCACGAGAGGCCGTCGCCACCGCCAGCCGCGTGCCGTCCGGAGAGACCGCCGTGCAGTGCACCTGGTGGCCCTGCGCTCCCGCCGCCTCCGCGATGACGTCGTCGCCCAAGGGCCGCTGGAAGACTAGGGAGATGGGAGCCCCCAGCTTCCTCAGCAGATTGGCCGGGGAGGCGCCACCGCCCAGGTCGAACTTCAGGAGGCGCCCCTGGCGCTCCCCCGCGCCGAGGCCGCTGCCAGCGACGCTCTCCCTGTAGCCCTTCAGCAGCCACCGCTTGCCGGCCTCGACCCCGTGCCAGGCGGCAGGCCCGACGGGCAGCACGCTGGTGACGAGCAGCTCGCTGTCGAGCTCGACGTCCTCCCAGGCGCGGACCTGGAACTCCTCGCGGTACTCCACGTCCACCTCCCACGGCTCGTCGCTGGTGGCCCCCTGCGCGCCCCACCGCGGCCAGAGGCGCGAGCCGACGGCGCAGCGGAGCCCGGCGTCAGAGGCTTCGCCCCGCGGGCGTCCGACCGGCCACAGCATGACGCGCGCTGTCGTGCTGACGACCAGGCGCCGACTCTGCGGCATGTAGGCGAGGCCCCAGACCTCCTCGGTGACGGCCACACGGTGCCGCTCCAGCCGGGTCTCCACGTCGAACACGGCGAGCTCGGGCTGCTGGCCAGGGGGCGGGCGCAAGCGGATGTCCTCGGCAACCGCCAGGCAGTGGCCGCCGGCGCAGAAGGACACCGCGCGGGCGGGCCAGGGGCAGACTATCCCCTCGTCGGGAGGCCCGGCGCTGCAGACGCCGTCCTGCTCCGCCGCCCCGCGGGCACCGGCGCCGCCCCTGCCGCAGTAGAGCCCAGTCACCGCGCACCTGTCCCCGGCGTCGTAGACGCGCCAGAGGTAGACCGCCTTCGAGGCCTGCCTGCCGACGGCGGCGAAACACTGGCCGCTTGGCGCCCAGCTCAGCGCCCGCGCGCCCTCCCAGGGCACACCTCGGCGGCTCTGTGATGGGGCCCACAGGTGCAGGGCCCTGAGGACAGAGTGGGATCCCAAGCCACTCGTCCTCTTGCGGAGCGAGTTGAGACAACGGCAGCTCAAAAGCGGTCCACCGACCCCTCCTGGGGCCCGAACGCGGCTCCCCGAAGGCCAACTACTTTTCCAAACTCGCCCTCCTCTGAGAATGGGATTCCGCGACACTCGCACTCGGGGCGCCATCCCTCGAGCCCCCATTCATGAACCGCCGACCACCGCCGCGCGCGGCCAAGCCGGTGGCGGCCTTCACTAGCGCGGGCGAGCCTGCCTCCGTGCCCCTTGCCGGGTCCAGGTCGAGCTGCCAGAGGGGCGGGGCGAGCCCCGCCACGGGCGCAGGCGCGCTCCCCTGGCACAGGAAGACAGAACTGCATAAGCATAAACTTTCGGAACTCAGCGCAGGATTGATTCTTGGATCGGCGCTGGACCCCCTCTGGGGCGGCGTCCGAGCGCGCCAGGGGCGGCGCCAGAGGCGCTACAAAGGCATCCAGCACCGATCCAAGAAATCTGCGTTGAGAAGCGACGATTTATGTGTATGCAGCTTTTTTGCTCGCATTATCAATCCGCTGGCACCCTTGTGGGGCCACCAGGCGGCGTGGATCCAGCTTGCTGTGCGCCAGCTCCAGTTTACAATTTCCAATGTGGTTTTATCATGCCAGGGACGAACCCTCATCAAAGGATGGTTTGCCTTTTCGGGTTTCCGACGCTCCAAGACGGCCCCAGAGGCCGCAAAGACTGTCTCAAGACGGCACAACAGGCCCCCGAGAAGGCCCCAAGACGCCCGAACACCTCCGAGAGGGCCCCAAGAGGGCCCCAAGAGGGGACCAAGAAAGGGACCACGAAAATTCTAGCTTTCCGCCCCAAGAGCCTCCCGGGATGCCCCACGAGGCCCTCAATGGCCTCCACGAGGCCCCCACGAGACCCCCAACAGCCCCAAACAGATGGCCCAAGAGGCACCTCCAAGACGCCCCAAGAGGCTTCGACGAGACCTCCCACGAGGGCCCCACGAGGCCAGCATCCTTCATGTTGAGGTGTTTTGTTTGAAAGTGTTTGGCTTTCTCGCCTTTTCGGGCTTCCGACGCTCCACGCCGGCCCCAGAGGTCCCCCAAACCGCCTTAAAACGGCCCGTCGGGCCCTCGAGAAGGCCCCGGCCCAAGAGGACCAGAACACGGGTCAAGAGGGCCTCAAGACAGCCCAAGGGGCCTCCAAGAAGGCCCCAAGAAGGGCCCAAGAAGAGGACCACGAACCGAACATTCTAGCTCTCCGCCCCAAGAAGCTCTCTGGATGGACGCTCAAGATGGCCTCCAAGACGGCCCAAGAGCCCTCCAAGACGTCCTCCAAGCAGACCCGACAGGGTCAAAATGGCCTCCAGACGGCCAAGATGACCTTCAAGATGCCCACATGTTCCCCGAAGGCCTTCGAAACCGATTCGGGGAGCATATGGTCCGATAGCTTGGCAGGTCTGGCCTCAACGTTCGGCCACATAGGCGCTTTCAAAAAGGCAGGGGGCGGCGGTGATTCGCTATAGGCGTCTTCGATCCGCCGCCCCATGTTGATTCATCACAATGGTGCCTGGCGTTCTGGGCTTCTTACGGTTTTGGTGTTGGTTCTTTCTCCGAAAGAACTCCCCCTAGCGCTTCGGCCCGTCCCGCCGGGGTCCCGGGAGGGAACTCCAGGCCCGCAAACGACCTCAACGTCCACAAAAAAATGTCCAAGACGGCTGAAGATGGCCTCCAAGACGGCCAAGATGGCCCTCAAGCTCGCCCAAGATGGTCCAAGATGGCCTCCGAGTCCGCCCAAGACAGTCCAAGATGGCCTCCAAGACGGCCCAAGAGGGTCCAAGATACCTCCGAGTTCAACCAAGAAGCATCCAAGACGGCCCAAGACGGCCCAAAAGATCTCGAATAGGTCCTTCAGGAGGGCCCGAAGAGGCCAAAATCGTTAAATTTGCTTAGGTTTTCGAAAGATTTTGGCATTTGCCTCTTCTCGGCATTCCGACGGTTCAAGACGGCCCAAGAGGCCGCCAAAATCACCCCAAAATCGCCAACGAGGCCTCCAAAAGGGCCCCATGACTGCCCAAGAGGCCTCCAAGACGGCCCCAAGAGGACCCCAAGACGGCCCAAGAGACCTCCAAGACGCCCAAGATGGCTTCCAAGACGGCCCCGAAGCGCCCCAAGAGCACCCCAAAAGTCGGTTCAGAGAAACGGCTCCCGACTGCGTCAGACGGGCCAGGAACCTACCAAGATGGCCGAAGTTGGCTCGAAGCTGGCCCAAGACGGCCCAAGAGGCCTTCTAGAGGGCATCCACGAAGGCCAGAAAAAGGCAAGAAAAGGCCAGAAAAGGTGTTTGACGGATTGTGACATTTGCTTATGTTCGGCCTTCCGACGGCCCGAGACGGCCCAAAAGCACCCAAAGATCGCCCACGACGCTTCCAAGATGGGCCCAAGAGGGCCCCAAGACGGCCCCAAGAGGCCCGCGAGACGGCACAGGATGCCTTTGAGACACACAAGATGGCCTCCAAGACTGCCCTGGAGCATTCCAAGAGGGCCCCAAATCGGCCCAGAGAGGCCCCCCAAACGGCTTCCGACGGCGTCGGACGGGCCAAGAGCCCACTAAGACGGCCGAACATGGCCCTAAGATGGCCCAAGACGGACCAAGAGGCCTCCAAGAGGGCCTCCAGGAAGGCCCGAAAAGGCTAACATCATTGATTCAGCATGAGTGTTTAAAGAAATGTGGCATCCGACGGCCCGAGACGGTCCAGGTGCCCCCGAAGAATTCCCAAGAGGCCCAAGACGGCCCCAAGAGGCCCCCAAGACGGCCCAAGAGGCCTCCAAGACGCTCAAGATGGCCTCCAAGACGGCCCAAGAGCCCTCCAAAACGTTCTCCAGGAAGGCCCGAAAGGGTCAAAATGGCCTCCCGTCGGCCAAGATGACCTTCAAGATGCCCACGTGTTCCCCGAAGGCCTTCGAAACCGACTCGGGGAACACACGGTCCGATAGCTTGGCAGGTCTGGCCTCAACGTTCGGCCACATCGGCACTTCCAAAAAGGCAGGGGGCGGCGGTGATTCGCCGTAGGCGTCTTCGATCCGCCGCCCCCTGTCGATTCATCCTAAGAGGCCTCCGAGAGGTCCTCGAGGGCCCGAAGATGCCAAAATCATGGATTTTCCTGTCCCTGGTCATTGCTCCTTTTCTGCTTTCCGACGACCCAAGACAGCCCAAGAGCCCCCAAGATCGCCTCCGCAGCGCCCCAGAGGCCTCCAAGATGGCCTCAGGACTGCCCAAGAGGCCCTCGAGACGGCCCCAAGAGGGCACAAAGACGACCCAAGAGGCCTCCAAGACGGCCCCAAGAGGGCCTCCAAGACGGCCCTGGAGCACCCCGAGAGGGCCCCAAGTCGGCCCAGAGAGGCCCCCCAAACGGCTTCCGACGGCGTCGGACGGGCCAAGAGCCCACTAAGACGGCCGAACATGGCCCTAAGATGGCCCAAGACGGACCAAGACGGCCTCGAAAAGGGCCTCCAGGAAGGCCCGAAAAGGCTAACATCATTGATTCAGCATGAGTGTTTAAAGAAGTGTGGCATCCGACGGCCCGAGACGGTCCAGGTGCCCCCGAAGAATTCCCAAGAGGCCCAAGACGGCCCCAAGAGGCCCCCAAGACGGCCCAAGAGGCCTCCAAGACGCTCAAGATGGCCTCCAAGACGGCCCAAGAGCCCTCCAAAACGTTCTCCAGGAAGGCCCGAAAGGGTCAAAATGGCCTCCCGTCGGCCAAGATGACCTCCAAGATGCCTCCCGTCGGCCAAGATGAGCACCCCGAGAGGGCCCCAAGTCGGCCCAGAGAGGCCCCCCGAACGGCTTCCGACGGCGTCGGACGGGCCAGGAGCCCACCAAAGCAGCCGAAGATGGCCCTAAGATGGCCCAAGACGGCCCAAGAGGCCTCCAAGAGGGCCTCCAGGAAGGCCCGCAAAGGCCAAAATCATTGATTTCCCTTGAGTGTTTGAAGGATTGTGGCATTTGCTGTTTTCAACCTTCTGACGGCCCGAGACGGCCCAGGTGCTCCCAAAGATCACCCACAGATCGCCCAAGAGGCCTCCAAGACGGCCCAAGATGGCCTCTAAGACGGCCCTGGAGCACTCCAAGAGGGCCCCAAGTCAGCCCAGAGAGGCCCCCCAAACGGCTTCCGACGGCGTCAGACGGGCCAGAAGCCCACCAAGATGGCCGAAGTTGGCTCGAAGCTGGCCCAAGACAGCCCAAGAGGCCTCCAAGAGGGCCTCCAGGAAGGCCAGAAAGGATTTTGATATTTGCTTCTTTTCGGCCTTCCGACGGCCCGAGACGGCCCAAGAGGCCTCCAAGATGGCCCCAGAACGGCCCAAGAGACCCCACGGCCCCAAGAGGCCCCCAAGCCGGCCCACGCCAGGAGGTTTTTAAGACGCCCAAGATGGCCTCCAAGACGGCCCTGGAGCATTCAAAGAGGGCCCCAAGTCGGCCCGGAGAGGCCCCCCAAACGGCTTTCGACGGCGTCGGACGGGCCAGGAGCCCACCAAAGCAGCCGAAGATGGCCCTAAGATGGCCCAAGACGGCCCAAGACGGCCTCCAAGAGGGCCTCCAGGAAGGCCCGCAAAGACCAAAATCATTGATTTCTCATGAGTTGTTGAAGGATTGTGGCATTTGCTTTTTTTCTGCCTTCCGACGGCCAGAGACGGCCCAGGTGCCCCCAAAGAATTCCCAAGAGGCCCAAGACGGCCCCAAGAGGCCCCCACGACGGCCCACGAGGCCTCCAAAACGCTCAAGATGGCCTCCAAGACGGCCCAAGAGCCCTCCAAAACGTTCTCCAGGAAGGCCCGAAAGGGTCAAAATGGCCTCCCGTCGGCCAAGATGACAGTCAAGATGCCCACGTGCTCCCCGAAGGCTTTCCAAACCGATTCGGGGAACACATGGTCTGATAGCTTGGCAGGTCTGGCCTCAACATTCGGCCACATAGGCACTTCCAAAAAGGCAGGGGGGCGGCGGTGATTCGCCGTAGGCGTCTTCGATCCGCCGCCCCCTCCAAATTCATCACAGGGGTGCCCGGCGTGCTGAACCCTTTCGGTTTTGGCCTTGCTTCTTTTTCCAAAAGAACTCCCCCTGGGGCTTCGGCCCGTCCCGCGTTCGGGTCCAAGATGACCGGAAATCTGCAAGGCCCCCAAGACGGCTTCCGACGGCGTCAAACCAGTCAGGAGCGCCCAAGACGAAGGACAATTGCACAACGGCCGCCCCCAAGAGGCCCAAGGAGGCCTCCAAGACACCTCCAAGAGGCACCCAATCAGCACCCAGGAGGCCCCAAGAGTGCACCGTTTGAGCTGGGATGGTATGAAATCATGATTAGGATGGACGATGGGAAGTCGGGTGCGAATGAAGGAGACCGACTGCGGCGTTGTCGCTGGGACCTGTCTTAGTATTCCTTATGGATATACACCCCCTGCTCTATCCGACCAACGACAAAACCGGGGCTATGTGGGCATTGTGCGCAGGGGGAATCTCGCGCTTTGAACGCCCCAACGCTCGTAGAGGACCCGCAAGGCCTCCACGAGGGCCCCACGACGGCAGCTGCGACCTCCACAACGCCCATAGAGGCGCCCAAGACAGAATCCAAAAGAAAACCAACCACCAAAGGACCCGATCGGACACTTCGAGCCCTCGGCCCCAAGAAGACCACGGGAGATCCCACCAGAACCCCTACAAGGCTGACACGAGGCCCCCACCGGACGGCATCTACTACTGACACCCTCAAGGGGTCGGCGGTGCGGCGTAAGCCCGAGAATCAACTGATGGTTTGATGTACCTTAAGGAGATCGCCCGGGAACCCAGCGAAATCGGCCCGTAACCAAGAAAAAAGAACCGAACCGGGAACCGGGGAACCCAACTGGCCACCAAAATCGGCGGGAAACGTTTGCCAAATCTTTCAATATCCGCTAGGACCCCTTCAGTGCCAGCATTGATTGGGGAACTTTCTGCTTCCTACTGGAAATTGTTACTATCCGCGCAAGGGAGGGGAGCCCCAAACCAGCATTGACCAGGTCCTCCCGGGGGTCTCAGAATTCCTGGGGGGTCGTGAGACATAAAAAAACCAAGAGTCGCGCCCCGAGGCAATTCATCTTCGTAAATTGCACGATGGTCGCGTGCCCGATGCCATAAACCCTTGCAAAATAAACCACATTCACGACCTCGAGGCTAGATTCCCGAGTAAATCGCTCCATAGTTGCTTCCCCGAACAGCAAGCCCGCGAAAGTTACGCTGTGTTCGCGTCCCCGGAGCCCTAATCCATTGTAAAGTATGCAATAATCGCGTCGCCGAGGTCACGATCCCTCGTAAATTGCACAATAGTTGCATTCCTCGAAGCCGTAATCTCCATACAATATACAATATAGTCGGACTTCATTGCAGAGGACACGCGAGAGGACACAAGACCCTTCCGAAGGCCACATTTCCATTGGAGTGTAAGAAGGCACGTGTCGCGAGGCACAGGGCACAAGGGTACCCTTGAGCTGGCAGGGTCGACCTACAAATCTGGGCCAACTGTATTCGAATCGAGGCCAGAATACTTTGTAAATTATATAATGTTCGCGTAGTATGCAATATTCGCGACCCCGGGGCTACGACCCCTTATTGAAATTGCGCCGTACACGCGCCCACGAAACCATACAATTTCTTGCAAATCATGATATAGTCGCGTCCCCGAGGCCACGATCCTTTGCAAATTACGCCGTAGGTGCGTCCTGGAAGCCATAACCCCTGGTAAAAAATGCGATGCGTGCCCGAGGCCACGATCACACGCAGATTACGCCATGTTTGCGCCCTCACAACCCAAACCCCTCCGCGTCCTCGAGGCCAAAAACCCTTTTAATTTGAGAAATGTGCGCCGCGTCCTCGAGGCCATAAATCTGCGTATCTGACCAAATAAGTGCGTACCTGAGGCCCGTAAATTACGAAGTGCTAGCGTCCCCGCAAGCCACGCCCTTGACCACCATCAACATGATCATCATCATCATCATCATCATCATCATCATCAGCAGCAGCAGCAGCAGCAGCATCATCATCAGCATCACCATCACCAGCGCCCACAGCAGCATCATGAGCAATATCTCCATCACCATCACCATCGGCGACAACATCAGCATCATCAGCATCTCCATCGGCGTCAGCATCAACATGTCCTCAAGACGGCGCCAAGACATCCTGATACAGCTCTTACGTATCCCGTTCTGATCTAATAAGGGGCCAGCGGCAGGGGGCGAAGCCCTGTTAGTATGTTCAGTCTGCTCATTCTTATGCTTGGATGCATCAGCCGCATTGATATTACTATCATTGATGGTTATCAATAGCATTACTACTCGACCGGGCCGTCCCTCGCGCTGTTTAAAGGCTTATCTTGTGTCCCCCGACTCGCGATGGAGCTGACACGGCGCCTGCTGATTTATCTGGGGATGATTGGACTCCTCGACTTACGCGGATGTATCTCGACCTGCCTGGACCTGCCTCGACCAATCTGGCCTGACCCCCCCCCAAGTCGCGTGGAGAGAAATCGCGAAGCCCTTCGGGACCACCCTGGAACATCTCCCTATCCTTAGGTCGGGCATGTCCCCCTACAGGTGGATTTTGGACGAAACATTTCAAATAAAAAATACACCAAAATTCGCCGGCCCAACGGGCCAGAGGCGTGCTAAGATCTCAGGTAACTGGTTAACAATTCTCTAGTTCGCGCGCGCGGGGCGGCCCCTGGGGGTCCCCGGACGAAAAGTACCCCGGGCGACTCCCGGCTGATCCCCGGGCGAAGCCACCAGTGCGCTCCATGAGCGCACCAACAGGGCTCCGAGACGTCCCCGAGAGCCCCAAGAAAGGCCAAGAGGCCCCCAAGAGGCCCCCAAGATGGTACACGAGGGGTCCGACATGCCACAAGATCGCTCCAAGACACCCGAGATAGCCCCCAGACGCCCCAAGAGGCCTCCAAGAGCACTCCCAAGAGGGCCCCCGGAGGCAAAATTCATTGTTTTTCCTTAGGTTTTTGAGAGATGTTGGAGCTTCCACCTTTTCGGCTTCCCGACGCCCCAAGACGGCCCAAGAGGCCCCCAAGATCGCCCCAAGAGGGCCCAAGAGGCCCCCAAGAGGGCCCCAAGATGGCCCAAGAGGGCTCGAAGACGGCCCAAGAAGCCTCCAAGACGGTCCAAGAGGGCCCCAAGAACGCCCCCAAAGGGGCCCCAGAGAGGGAACACGAAACAACATTTCGAGCCCTCGGCCCTAAGAAGCCCCTACGAGGCCCCAAGAGGTCCCTAAGAGGCCCCAAGAGGCCCCCACGAGGCCCTCAGGAGGCCCCCAAGAGTCCCCCAAGCGGCCCCAGGAGGCCCCCCAAATGCCCCCCCGAGCGCCCCAGGAGTCCCCCAAGCGGCCCCAGGAACCCCCAAAGCGCCGCATTGACACCAGGCCCTCGGGCAAACGGCAGACATGAGACTGTACGGGCCGGCGGAATGAGCAAAGCGATTAAATAATCAAAACATCGTCCCCATACTACGTTTTAAAACTATGTTTGAACATTCCTCCTGTAGAGGGGCATACCCGACTTAACCCTATCCTGATGATTGGCATCACCTGGTCTCGATGCCGATCTGAAGGATTGCGCATCCCTAAGATTGTCATCGCCTTTGGGCTTGTCAATCTTGTGGATCGGAATAAGATTGTGGCTGGTTACTTCGGGACCTGGGCGTCCCACAGGCTGACGCGGCCCCGGCCGTCGACGCCCAGCAGCAGCGGCCTCGGCCCCGCCGGGCGCGCCTCTGAGCAATGTTGTGGAACGTTCCCTATCCCCTCTGGCGTGGCCTTGCCCCGCTGGCCGAATTGCCCCCCTAGCTGGGGATATGGGCTGCTTCCCTCCGGCTTCGAGGGGCACATCCCCAACTGGGATGGTGAGATGGTGGGGATCGGGCTGGGGGTGGGGATAGGGCTCGGTCAGCCGAGTTACGGCAGGTTCGTGTCGTGCCGACCCCAGCGTTGGTTTTTGACACCGCAGGGATCGTTCAACCTTGAACGATCGGCCGCTGCCGCAACGTCCAATCGTTCAACATCGACCGATTCTGGGCCGCCGCCGGCGTTCAACGTTGAACGCCAGCGGCGGGGTCGCCGCCGGTCGGCACGACATGACCCTACCGTACTGAGCCTCGAGGCAGCAGGGCGCGCGGTCGCCGGGGCAGCCCAGCTCGGGCGGCGCGCCCTCGGCGCCGCCGAGGCCCCGCCACGGGCCGCGGCCCTCGGCGCCGCCGAGGCCCCCGCCGCTGCCGAGCCAGCCGGCGAGGGCCTCGCGGTCGGCGCGCCAGCCGCCGAGGGCGACGACCGCCGCCCCGCGGCCGGCGTCGGAGGTCGGTGGTTCAAACATGAGGCCGGGAGTGGATTCTCCTGGTTCGAGGCACCTCGTCGTGAGGCACTTGGCTTCTGCTTCGAGGGTCGAGTCTCTGCGTGCAGGCAGTCGCTCTGCAGTACCTCCTTTTCCTGCCGCAGGTCCCCGAAGAGTTGCCAGTCGCGCGCTCTTCTGCCACGCGTCCCTCCGGACGCTCGGCTCAGCGGTGGTGGTGGAGGCACCTCGCCCTCGGGACCCCATCCCCCAGGTCCCCATCTTCGAACCACCGAGGAGGAGGCGCCCCGCGCGGGGGCGCCTGCGGGCGCGACGGGCGCGGGCCCGCCCCACATGCACGCCGCCGCGGCGCCCGGGCCAGAGCGGCCTGGGAGGAGTCGGCAACGGCGAAGTCGAGGCACGCCACGCTGGGGCACGGTGGCCATCTCGGGGCCTCCTGGGACCCTTGGTGCGGCACAGGCTTGCCTCGGGAGGGGCATGAGATCGCTCAGTCGCTGTTCTTGCTCCGGGGAGGGGTACAACACTCCCCGCGACGAGAGCCAGGAGGAGGCCACGGCGGCTACGGCTCTTCGGAGAACTGGAGGTCGCCAGCTCGGAGCTCGGAAGGGGAGGACCATGGGGAGGAGAAAGGGGGAAGGAGGAGCAGGACAGCATCCGCCCCCATTAAATTGCGTGTGAGATGACTGGGGTTGAAATTGCGTGTGAGATGACTGGGGAAAACAGCTTGCCTGGGGTTGAAATTGCGTGTGAGATGACTGGCGGTCCCCCTCCCATTAGGGAGGAGTGCAGGCAGTCCCCCCCCCCCGCACCCCCCTCGACGCCGCCCAGCGGTCCGCCCGGGGTGCCTCGCACGCTCAGGCGACGTGCCAGCTCGGACAGGGCGCCTCTCCTTTTCGCCGCTGGTGTGTCAGCCTGGGACACCGACCTTCGCGCATCGCGCCCCGCGATGCGCTGCGCGCGATGAACTTTGCACCCTCTCGCCCTCGCGCGCCCCCCTTGGAGAAAGGCACCCGCTCTGGCCGAGATCGCGACGCGCAAAACGCAATTACCTTTGCGCCCCCGTGAGTGACCTGGGCAATGCATGTCAATGCAACGCGATCCAAAATAGAACCGAACCGTCGCTCCAAGCGCGACATGATTGGCCAAGGCGCGCGGCGCTCGCTATCCTGCCTCCGCTCGTCACCTCCATTCCTTCTCCTTATCAGAAACTTCTCCCTGTCGCACCCCGAGGCCAGATTTTGGGGCGGCCCGGGCGTTTCGCCTAAGACTTCCCCACCATGTCTGACCCTGAAGCTTAACAATTGACAACAGCTTCACCAAGTGGAGGGCGGGTCGTTTTCAAAATGTGGCTCTCGCCTTAGCGCCGCGCACATTTGTTCTAAACATTTGCAAGACCTTCACGGATTGAGGGCGGGTCGTTTTCGACATGTGGCTCTCGCCTGAGCGCAGCGCACATTCGTTTGGACAAGTTGCAAAGAGTTTCACGGATTGAGGGCGGGTCGTGGTCGTGTTCAACATGTGGCTCTCGCCTGAGCGCCGCGCACATTCTTTTGAACAAATTGCAAGAGCTGCACGGACTGAGGACGGGTGATTTTCGAAATGTGGCTCTCGCCTTCGCGCCGCGCAGATTCGTTTTAAAAATGTGCAAGAGCTTCACGCATTGAGGGCGGTTCCTTTTCAAAATGTGGCTCTCGCCTTAGCGCCGCGCACATTCGTTGCACAAATGTGCAAGAGCTTCACGGATTGACGGCGAGTGGTTTTCAAAATGTGACTCTCGCCTTGGCGCCGCGCACATTCGTCTCAAAACGTTGCAAACATTTCAACGGTCTAAGGGCGGGTCGTGTTCAACATGTGGCTCTGGCCTCGGCGCCGCGCACATGCGTTTGAACAAATTGCAAGAGCTTCACGGACTGAGGGCGGGTGATTATCAAAATGTGGCTCTCGCCTCAGCGTCGCGCACACTCGTTATTAAACAATTGCAATGAGACGGATTCGAAGTTTTTCACGGATTCCCATGACCGGCGTACCAGAAACTGTGTGTTGGAACGATGCACGAATATGAGGGTGCAACAGTTACGATGATTCGCGGAGTGGATGTCCCAAGAATGGCTGTCTGGCACGATTCAAGATCGTCAAGACGCAACAGCCAAGTGTATCCGTGGCGTTGGAATACCGAGAACAATGGTTTGGCATGCGTCAGGGTCTTCAAACGGTTGTCTTCGAACGAAGCACAACATCCTTGGTGGCTCATGGGTTTATACTGGACCTCCTCCTCCTCCTCCTCCATTCCTTCTCGTTATAGATAACTCCTCCCTGTCGCACCCCGAAGCAAGTTTGTAGGGCGGGTCGGGCGTTTCGCCTGAGACTTCCTCTTCACAGATGGAGGGCGGGTCGTTTTCAAAATATCGCGCACATTCGCTTTAAAAAATAGCAAGAACTTAACGCATTGAGGGCGGGTTGTTTTCAAAATGTGGCTGTCGCCTTAGCGCCGCGCACATTCGGATTCAAGAATGCAAAAGTTGCACGGATTGAGGGCGGGCCGTTTTCGACATGTGACTCTCGGCCTAGCGCCGCGCACATTCGTTTGAACAAGTTGCAAAGAGTTTCACGGATTGAGGGCGGGTCGTGTTCAACATGTGGCTCTCGCCTGAGCGCCGCGCACATTCGTTTTAACATGATCGACCCACGAACCCGGAAAGGAATATAGAAATGTAAGGCATTGCAACATTTCAAAGACACCTGATTGGGCGACGAGCACATGCAATGCTGAATGTATCGATGATGATGTACTGTGCCGAGGGCTGTGCTGTGCTACGCCGTGCTGAACTGCGATGTGCCATGCCGCGATTGTGCTCTATATAGCGTTGTGGATCGAGTCCTCCCTGGAATCCGAGTACTCACCGAACTGATCTGGAGCGTAAGCTCGAGCTGCCTGAGCAGATGGTAGCTGCCCCAGAACTAATCGACAGAGGGAACATGCCAGGAGGACGCGCCGCGGAACGTCCCAAAGGACGCGCCAGGCGACGTGCCAGGGGACGTGCCATGGGCACGCACCGCGGGACGTGCCAAGGGGACGCGCTACGGAACGTGCCAATGGACGTGCCGAGGGACGTGACAGGGGACGCGCCGCGCGACGTGCCAGGTGGGCTCGACACGGAACGCGCCAAGGAACGTGCCCAGGTGCATAATTGAGTGTATCGATCTTGATGTACCATGCCGACGGCTGTGCTGTGCTGGGCCGTGCTGAACTGCGATGTGCCATGCCGCGATTGTGCTCTATATAGCGTTGTGGATCGAGTCCTCCCTGGCATCCGAGTCCTCACCGAACTGATCTGGATCGTAAGCTCGAGCTGCCTGAGCAGATGGTAGCTGCCCCAGAACTAATCGACAGAGGGAACATGCCAAGAGGACGCGCCGCGGAACGTCCCAAGGGACGCGCCAGGCGACGTGCCAGGGGACGTGCCATGGGCACGCACCGCGGGACGTGCCAAGGGGACGCGCTACGGAACGTGCCAATTGACGTGCACCGCGCGACGTGCAATGGGGGACTCGCCACGGGACGCTCCGCGGAACGTGCCAGGCAACATGCCAGGCTGCAATGCTAAGGGTATCGATATTGATGTACCGTGCCGAGGGCTGTGCTGTGCCTGGGCGACCTGGACACGTGAAAACACGCGTTTCGCTCAAGACGTTGTCAGCACATGCTCATGCTAGACATCCGCCTGGGCGACCTGGACACGTGCAAACAAGCGTCTCGTTCGAGACATCCTCAACACATGCTCATGCTAGACATCCGCCTAGGCGACCTGGACACGTGAAAACAAGCCTCTGGTTCGAGACATCCTCAACAAATCCTCATGCGAGACATCTGTCTGGGCCACCTGGAGGCGTGAAACCAAGCGTCTCGCTTGAGACATCCTCAAGACCTGGGCACGTGAAAAAAACAAGCCTCTGGTTCGAGACATCCTCAACAAATCCTCATGCGAGACATCTGTCTGGGCCACCTGGAGGCGTGAAACCAAGCGTCTCGCTCGAGACATCCTCAAGACCTGGGCACGTGAAAACAAGCAATCCACTTGAGAGATCCTCAGAATTCAGGTCCCCAGGAGAGGACAATCTATAACACAAAACAAGCGTTTCGCTCGAGACATCCTCAACAAATACTGAAAAACAAGCGTTTCGCAAGGGACATCCTCAATTTTTAATTCGCCGGCCCTACGCGACCTCGTTATTTATCGCAAAAGAAATTCGCCGGCCCTACAGCCGTCAAAACCGGAGGGAAACCAACTAAAAGAGAACCCTGGGCCTGCGCCCTTTCCGGGAAAAAATGCGCAAAGAGTTTCACGGATTGAGGGTGGGTCCTGCTCAACGTCTGACTCTCGCCTTAGCGCCGCGCACCTTCGTTTAAAAAATTCCAAGAGCTTCACGGACTGAGGGCAGTTCCTTTTCAACATGTGACTCTCGCCTTAGCGCCGCGAACTTTCGTTGCAAACAAATGTATGAGTTCTTCACGGATACCCATGGTCGACGTACCAGAAATGGTTTTTGGGAAGGATGCACGATTATGAGAGCGCAACAATTACGTACCATTATTTGCGGAGTTGAAGTCCCAGGAATGACGTTCTGGAACAATTCGGGATCAGCTTGATCCGTAGCGTTGGAATCCCGAGAACAAGATGTTGGCATGCTTCGGGGTCTTCAACCGGTTGTCTTCCAATTAGGCCGGTCCATCTGTGGAAATGAAACTTCGTCATTGTAGAGGCCTATGAAGAGGGAAATTGGGGGGAGGGTTTATCCCAACATCGTTGGTGACTCTTGGGTTGACACTGGTCCTCCTCCTCCTCCTCCTCCTCACCCTCCCCTGGCTCCTCCTCCTAATCCTCCTCCTCCTCCACCTCCTCCTCCTCCTCCTCCGTCCTCCCTCCTCCATTCTGGCTCATCCATCCCACCTTGTGCCTCCTCCCTTCCCTTTCCTCTCTCCTCCCTGCTCCTTGCACCCTCTTCCCTTCTCCCTCCTCCCTCCCCCCTCCTGTCTCCTCATGTCTTTCTCCTCTCTCCTCCTCTCTCCTCATCTTCCCTCCTCCTTCAAAGGGGTCACAAAGGTACCGAGACCGCTGCTCCCCCGACCTCTCCTGAGGCGCGTTCCGACCAACGTGTCGAAGCTAATCCAACCAGAGCGACGGGGGCTTCCCAAGAGGCCCAAACAAGTGAAAAGAACAGGCGAGGGTAGCGGTATCGGTACCTCTTTCTCCTCTGCCTCCTCCTCCCTCCGAACATGCCAAAGTGAACTCCCCACGCGGCTCCGCCGGCCTGGGCCGACGGACTCAGCGCCTTGACAAGCTCCCTCAGTCTGCGGAGCTCTGCCTGGCGGATCGCCCCGACGTGCCGAGGGAGGGAGAAGGGAGGGATAGCAGTGATAACAGCGATGGAAGTGCCACCTAGCTGCCCGACAACACTCCGAGGTAGAGGCAAAAACGGGCGCCAATAGTTGTACAAACAGTGACGCCCGTTTCTGGGCAAGGGACGGGTCGCGGTGTAGCGTCCACGCCCACCAGACAGACCACATCCAACCAAGCGCCCAGACAAGTGTAAGGGCCTCTCCTGTCTTGGGGCGCCTGCCAGCCAGCAAAAGAGCCAGAGTCGCTACCCTGGCCCCACTTTAGGCGACAAAACGAGAGGAAAAGACAAAACGAGGACAACGACAAGAGAGGAGCGGGTCCGAGGCATCACCTCGGGGTCAAAGCCGCCGCACACGGCGAGGTGGCCCTTCAGGGAGGGCCAGGCCCGCCGCGCCGAACGGGGATGTACACGAAGCCGCCGTACCAACATTGAAGGGGACCCTTGTAACGAACGAGCAACAGGCGATAGCCCGCACGAGGATCCCCAAGTAACCGACCGGCGATTCCCACGTGATCATTTCCCACGCAGCCGAGAGAGCCCACGAGGGACGGAAATTGAGGTCTCAGCGGGACCCGCTCTGCGTCCAGAACCTGTCTCTCCGCCAGCGTGCCATCCCACTGCTTGGTGTTAAAAAGATCCGATGTCTCACGAACATCGCGAACCTTCAAGCGGATCCCTTCGCCATCGGGGAAAGATGTCCAGCAGAAGGTCGTTGTGGTCGGCGAGCGAAGAAACCGTTCCGACGCGGCCAATGTATCCCGCATCCACGGATGACACCCAGCGCCCCACGAACCAATACAGGCGCCAGCCAGCACGCTCACAATTGTACCATAACGAAAGCCAGCGCTCGTCCTCATCATCACATTCATAACCCTGGGACCTGAAGAAGATCTTGCGTTTGAGCCGGGGGGGCCGAGCAGCGGCACCATCATTGAGCATTGGAGGGCCAATCTGGCGACAAGTTCGTCAGTCTACTCGCTACCTCCATGAATAAAATATTGGATAGTGATTTTGCCACCGGCCCAAAGATGCTACAGACGGCCCTGTCACGAACTTGGGATGTCCATTCTCCTCGAAACGCTTCGAAGTGCCCCGTTCATGACGCCAACATCCTTGTGCAGGGGGGTCGCCGCCGCCGTGCCGAGCTGTTGCAGCCCATGGATGGCATCCAGAGTCAGACCACAAACCGCGCGGAACAACACGACGGTCACGCCGACGATGCGGAGGACCGCCACGTCCGTCCCCGCCTCAACCATGGGCATCATCGTCATCAGCAGCATCATCATCATCAGCAGCATCAGCATCAGCATCAGCATCATCATCAGCATCAACATCACCACCCTCATCACCATCACCATCTTCAACGTCACCGTTACCAACATCATCGCAATCGTCATCATCATGAGCCCTGTCATCAGGGGGTTGGGAGCCACCGTCTGGTTCCTCTGGCGCCCAAAGATGGTCGGACCACCAAGTGCCCATCGCCCGCGATACACCGCGGCCCGCATGCCCAACATATGCTCGAACACCTCGATCGTGTAGGTGACGTGGTTGCGCACCACTTTGACAGTGGACCTGAGCAGGTCGGCGGCCGAGGAGACAGACATGTGCACCTGTGCCCTATTGAGTTCCTGCTCGAAGATCTACCGAGCCCCCCCGACGAAAGCCATTGCCGACGCATGGGGGAGAGGAAAACGCAACCGCGCCAAGGAAACTGCGGGGACAGGCAAGTGAGTGGTCAAAAGCCACTAGTTGTCTTGAGCTCGACGCCCACGCCTCCCCATCGGGTCACGCCCGAGGACTTCGCCAGCTACGGAGGAAAGAGCTGGCGAGTAAAAGCCGAGCCTAGTCGGAGGAATCGCTAGGCTCGGGCTCAGGGCGGGGCCTTGGCCGCAGAGGGGCCTCGCCATGCTGGACCGCTAAAGCGACACGCACCAGGCGAGGCGCTTCTCTCGGAAAGGCGCTGGACGAACGATGCGACGTCACAGCAGCACGGAGGACAGGGCGCCGAGCAGCCCCCGCGTCTTCAAAACACGCAGAAGGGCCGCCGCCAACACTGCCGCCCACAAGTCCGTCACCCGAAGTGGGTAAAGGACCGATGCTTGTCGCGCCAGGCGGCGGGGCGCGAGTCGGCGCGGCGCCGACGGGGCAAGCTGCGCCCGCAGCTTGGCCAAAATGGCCGACGGCAAGCAGCGGGGCAGCTTCGAAACTAGCAGGGGGGCCGCCGCCCGACCCGCCGCCCGCGAGTCCGTCACCCGCTGGTGATGGGCCAGCGAAATGCAGGCGAGGCAGCGAAACATCGAGCGGCGCAGCGCCGCGCGAGCCAGCTGCGTTCGCAGCGGCGCCGGCAACAGGGTCGGCGGAAGACGGGCCGGCAGCGAGGACCAAGGCGGCTTCCTCGTCAGCTTCAAACTCATCGAAAAGACCGCAGCCCGAAGCGCCACGCACAAGTCCGCCACCCTCGGAGGGTAATGGGCCAGAGGCGAAGGCACGGGGCTGCGGAGCGAGCATAAGCACAGCGCTGCCGGGCCCCGCCACTGCGGCAGACGGACCAGCGAACGAGGTGGCAGCGGCTGGGTCGGAGGCGCCTGCAGCCTCGACGGGGCCTGCGATCAGCAAGGCGCTGGCACTCGCCGAGCTGAAACATTGGACCAGGCCTTCAGCGTCAACTCTGACACCAGCTTTCCGCTGCTTATGCTGGAGGTGATGTCCTCTATAAGCGTGGTCCCAGCCGCACTTGCCAGCAGGGCTTGGGGCAACGCACTCCTGGGCCAGGCCGCGGATGAAACCCCCGCTGGCGTGGCATTTGCACCCGATAAAGAGCACCGAACAGTCAGTGCACGGAAAGGCGACGGCACGGTGCCCGAGGGCATCTCGGCGGTCGGCGTGGATCAACGACTTCCTGGAGCAGGGTCCTGGGGGCGGCTTCGAGGAAAACCTGCAACTGCGCAAACAATGAGCGCACCTCTAGATTCCGCTCCAGGGTTTCCAAACACGGCCAGACGTGGGCTTCCTTTGGGACGGGGGATCGGGGGCCCTGCCGACCCCAGACAAGTCCAAAGGGGGGCAGTGGACAAGAACGTGAGCAGCCAGCTTCAACGCAGCCCTAGCGAACGACACCATCCGGTCAGCATCCTGAAATAAACCTTCGTCACGCGGGTGCAGAGAGACTGCGTGTTTGGCTGCTAGATCGGCATGGTGATTGCCAAGCCTGCACTAGCGCTCCCGGGGTGCGATGCCAGGAACGTCGATGTCAAGATGGGCGGCCACCTTCGAGCAAGAAGCGGCTCCACCAACCTGACCGTAACACTAGAGACAAGCCTCTGGCGGCAGACTTTGCAACGTTGCTACAATCCGAATGAGCGCGGCTGTCTGCGGGAAGCGCGGCAATCACATCGGCCCAAGTAAAGGCGTTGACTTCGGCACTCTGAGCCGTCTGAGGGCACGGGCCCCGCACTGGCGCGGGAAGCTCGGCAACCAAGTCACCAGCGTCGCCCGCCGTGCAAACAGCGCTGCCCGCTCGAGAAAGTTTGCGCACCGTGTGGCGAAAACAAGCATCATCTACAAAAATGTCACCCAAGACACAATTGTCGGCAGGGGCCTCATCAGGGCCTTCCTCAGGGTACTTGTGCCACGTCAACGTCGGACCAAAATCCTGCTCAGTCAACGTCCGAGGGTAGAATCCGGCGGGGCGCCGAAAAGGCGCCAGATGAATACATGGCCGTCCTCGTGCTCGCCCGGGGCCGTAGCTGCGCGCGCAGCTTCGATGATATAGGGCTCGACCAGCCTGCTCCTATCCTCAGCCGCGGGGGGGAAGGGACATCCCCGCAAACTGTGGAAGACGGCGTCGCGGGCCCCAATGGATACAGACAAGTTCGACGCGATAACCAAGAGACTCGGCCCTGGCAACCGCGAGGAAGGCTTCCGTGGAGAAGGCCCGAACCCTGCCCTTTTGGAGGGGCGTGAATTTCTCGCTGCGCAGAGAAAGGCTTTCCCGCACCACATCGTAGCAGAGACGTGACTGGACGCCACGAGCAGCCACCGCGTCTCTATCCACATGCGGACATACCCTGCTCGGACCAGGGACCCGACAAGCGAGGGCGAAAAGATCCCCACAGGAATGGATTTCCCGATATCGTCGACCAGGGCCATGAAGTTATCCATGCGCCACCCGAGGCGCACCAGGGACATCCGGATGGCAGAGGTAGGGCCCGCAACTCGCCTCCAGCTGCAGGACGCACATGAAGAAATGCGTGCCACGCACGCCAGCGCACTGGCAAAGAGAGAGACCAGTTGAAGGCTGAGGTTTGACAAAACCACACCTCCTTGTTCCACCTGAGAATCGGGGCAGTGGCCGCTCGCCACGTCGGATCGTAGTCCAGGATGGCGCTGGCTGTGAGAGACCTCAGCTGGCTGCGAAGGCGAACGACAGAAAAAGCACGGCGGCGCAGCAGGCTAAGGTCGTGATCGCTTATGCCCGTGACTTCAGACCCAGAGGAGGCCCCCGCTAAGGGCCCCGCCGAGAAGACCTTGAGGGAGGAAGCCCGACTGAGCGCCTTACCTTTCGTCGCTAAACGCCGAGCTGCCCGAGCTGACTTGGTTATCCGACCCTTCATCTTGGCCGCCTTACCGCAAACCGTGATGGCTCGACCAGCCGCGCAGCCAACGCCGAGGTTGACCGTGGAGCCAGAGCAGTGGCGGCAGAGGTGGCCGAGCCTGTCGAGGGCCTGGGTGCCGACAAACTTCGACCTAGCAGCAATCGCCGTTTTCCCCCGGGCAAGCGAACAGCTGAACCCATCCTTCACGGCACCATCCAATGCTACGGCTCCAACCACCACAGCTTCCACGACGGCCCCAGGGCGACCCGTGGAGGACAAGCCCTGGTCGTCGATGTAAACATCCAAGGAGGTGGAGGGAGCAAGAAGGATGCTGTCGTAACCGTCAAGACAGTAGACACGAATAACAGTGGTGGCCATCGAACAGCCAGCGATGACCCCGTTCGCGCAGAGGTAGGGGCCTTCGATCCAACCGCCGAGACTGAGGAACCGACCAACTTTATACGCATATAAGCACAATCTGGAGATGATCATCGGAAACCCGTGCCTCCTGCAGCGATTTTCCAACTTATCCAAATTAGTATTCTCATTGAACTTAGAAAGATCGAAGAAGATGCTGCAACTGGCCTGACCGCCTGACCTCTGGCGACTCCGTTTTCGGCCGTCACCGCCTGTCGCCAAACAACGTCGGCCGCTCCCCGATACTGGCCAGCGGCCCAGTACCCACGGGGGCGTGTAAGCTCCCAATCCAGGGCGAGGGGACGCCTGCAGCGCCCCCAGACCCTGAACCAAGAAAAAAACACCCCTATGGGCCTGTAGCCACCGGAGGACGAGAAAGGAGGAGGACGAGAACAAGAAGACGAGGGGGAGGAGGAGGAGGAGGAGGAGGAGGAGGAGGAGGAGGAGGAGGAGGAGGAGGAGGATAGGGAAGGGTGGGAAGGAGAAGGGGGGATAACGAAAAAAGATGTGACTTTTTCCGGACAATCAAGTTCAGGGCTGTTCTGGCATCTCTGGAAAAAAATCCCAAGCATTCACGGGACCGCTCGGCCAAAACCCTTTCTCATGATAATTATGATGTCCTCCACCAGCGTTTGTCCAAGTATCGGTCATCCATGATCCTTCTATCTTCCTCGCTGAAGGTTCTACATCCCTCGTTTTTCGATCCTCATTCATCAGAGATCACTTCTCTGTCCTCCATGATTCCTCCTCCGCTCCCTGCTACTGCCCATTCCCACATCCTCATATCCACCTTCATGCTCCTCCCGAGACGTTGTGGAAGGCGCAGATGTCGCCATCGATAAGGAGAGTCTGTGGACCATCCTGGCCCTTGACGTTTGGTCTGGGTCCTGCCCAGGGCTGAGTGCCGCATGCGGTGCTTCGCAAGTGCGAGTTTTTGGTCTGCGGTCGCTTGACACAAGCAGCGTTCGAGCGACGGGGGTCGCTTCAGAGGCGAATTGCGGCACGCGGCGGGAGGAAGAATGGGCGCGGGGAAGGGGAGACCGCGCGCAGAACATGCAGTCCTGCCAGTGCGCGCACAAGTGATCTCTTGATGAATTTGCCCCATGGCGCTGGTCGGCTCCGATACTCCATCGGCCGTGAAAGCATGACGCGCGCGCGCGTCAGAATTTCAATCGAAACGGCCTGGCTCCTCGGCCGCACCGCTGCGAGTCGGTGCAGGTTGTCCTGGGCGTCGTCCACGCTGTCGCCGTTCGGGGAGGATGTTCAGGCTTCCGCCGACCTGGGCCTCATCGTGGCTGAGGATGGCAGCGCCACGCGCTGCGAATGGCGCGGCGCCTACCGGGAAGCTGGGGAACACACGTGGCTAGATTCACATGCGGAACATCTGGAGGCCACATGCTTGGCACAACTGGTCACATTCATCACCGCCAAATGCTCATGATCACCCACATCATCACCACCACGACAATCACACCACCAACATCATCGTCCACGCCATCATCGTTATCAACAGCATCATCGCCACGAGCACCAACACCGCCATCATCATCATCATCACCACCATCATCATCATCATCATCATCATCATCATCATCATCATCATCAGCATCATCATCAGCATCATCATCAAACAATTCATCATCGCTATGTTCCTCATCACCATCCCCCTCATCCGCAGCAGCATCCTCGAATTCACCATCATCACCAGCATCATCTGTCCTTATCCTAGACGTCCCCCCATCCTCCAATCCTCGATTTCAACCCCGCCCCCTTTATCTCCCCCTATTGCTGCGCTCTAAAGCCTCGCTGACCAAGTCGGCCTTGTTGAGGACGACCGTGTCGGCGGACTCCAGCTTAGGGCGACGGGCGGCGGCGCCAGTAGAGTGGATGACAGATGATGCGGAAGGAGGGGGAGCAGGCAGAGGGGGGAAGGAGAGGAAGAATGTAGAGAATTCAAAAGGACCCGCCCCCTCACCCTGCTCCTCTTCCTCCTCCTCAGCGCATTAACGGTGAGGAGAGCGCCAAGTTGACCGGTGGTGTCCTACCCTCCTCCTCCGGGCACGAAGCAGAGGGGGGAGGCCAGGGGCAGGGGGAGGAGAGGAGGCAAGTGGAACAATTTTTCCTCACCTTGTTCCTTCCCCCTACCCCTCCCCCCACCCCCTTCCCACTCCCCCTCCTCCTCCTCCTCCCTCCTCCTCCACTTCCTCCTCCTCCTCCCTCCTCCTCCACTTCCTCCTCCTCCTCCTCTTGTTCTTCCTCCTCCTCCTCCTCCTCCTCCCCCTCCTCCTCCTCAGCGCCTTAACGATGAGGAGAGCGTCAAGTTGATCATCGGTGTCCTACCCTCCTCCTCCGCCTCCTCTTTCCTTCCACGTCTTCATTCACACCCAGGGGCGGAGATTGAAAGGTAGGGGGGAGGTAAGGGGCAGGGGGGGAGAGGAAGCGACAAGAGCAATTATCCTTACCGTTTACAATACACAGTAAAAATACTAATCCGCTCTCCGGGAATGTCTGGCCCCCCTCCTCGATTCCAGGGAGTTGGGTTTTCGCTTGGGTTTTGTTTTCGGGATGCTGCTCTCGCAAAAGCGCTGGCCTAATTTTCGGGCTACCGCTCGTTCCGAATCGTGCTCCCGCTGCACCGCTGGCCTCATTTCCGTGCTTCCGCTCGTTCCGAATCGTGTTCCCGCTGCAGCGCTGGCATCATTATTTCCACCGCCATGCTCTGGCATGGTTTTCGCTTCTTCCAAATAGGCCCCAAGATCTGGAAAATCGCCTCCCGAAAAACCATCGGAAGTGATTCCACATTCGGTGTCGGTTCGTTGATGTTTCGCCCCCCCTACGTTGGGACGTCGCCACGCCATGCTATTTGACGCTACGAGTCATCATTGCCGTGTCTCCGCGCTGAGTTGTTTTCTGAAAATGCTGCTCTCGCTGAATCGCTGGCCTCATTTTCGGGCTACCGCTCGTTCCGAATCGTGCTCCCGCTGCAGCGCTGGCCTCATTTCCGTGTTTCCGCTCGTTCCGAATCGTGCTCCCGCTGCAGCGCTGGCATCATTATTTCCAGCGCCATGCCACGACATGGTTTCCGATCCTTCCAAATAGGCCCCAAAATATAGAAAACAGCTGCCTGACGAAACCATCGCACGTGATTGCGCATTCGGTGCCGATCCTTTGGTTTTTGGGCAGCAGAAGCCCCCCCCCCCCCCTTGGGGCGTCACCACGCCATGCTATGTCATGCTACGCGTAGATATTCGACACCAAGTTGTGCCATGCAATGCTATGCCATACTGCGACATCCGATTGTTCGAATAGAGAGAGATCTACGCTTTGGCAGGAATGTAATGGAGGGGTCGGACGTCAGATATGACGCGAGGGCACCTAGTTTGTCCTGCCCCCTCCCCCCACCCACTCCCCCTCCCCCTCGTCCGCCTCGTCCTCCTTCTCATTATCCTCCTCCTCCGCCTCCTCCTCCCAGTTGTCTTCGTTTTCGGTATCTGTTTCTTCTTCACCGCATTACTATGAATGGTAATACTATTGCTGCTGCTCGTATGATTCATGCTATGTGTCATTAGTACTGTGAGTAATAGTCGCATGATTACTCGTCTTATTACAACTATTATCATAGTTCTTAGTCAGAGTAGTAATCGCATGCTGAGTATTGTTATTATGTTTCTTACCAATGCAAGTATTAGAAGAGTACTTTGAATCTTACTGGTACCATTATTAGTAGTATTCTTCGTGTTCCTCCTTCTCCTCCTCCTCTCGTCCGCCTCCTTCTCCCCTTCCGCTTTCTCCTCCTCCTCCTCCTCCTCCTCCTCCTACTTTTGCCTGGGACATCGTCCCGCTCGGCAGTCTCAGAACGAAGGAGGCTGGCACCACATGGGGGCCTGGAAAATCGGCGGGCTGCCAGATACATTGACCCAACAAGCCCCGAAAGAAACTGAAAGTGGATCCACCAGCGGTCCCGTGGACCAGGTGGTGCATGAGAGGTGAGAGCACGACTGGGATCCTCCCAGCAGCACCCGTCAGTGGCGCGGGGCCCCCCAGCACTCGGACGCGTGAGCCCCAGGGGACCAAACGCGCGAAATCAAGCCGAGCGGACCGCAGGGCCAGGGGGGCGACCATTACGGAACATCCGAACATGTGGCTTCTTCACATCGAGATCGCCACCAACGACATCACGCGGGTGGCGGCCTGAAGTCTAGCTACTACTTCTATTGCAGAATCTGATCCCTTGGCCTGTAGCCAGGACCCTGGCCACGCGGAGGAAGTGGGCAGGCAGGAGGGGCAAAGGGGCAGAGAAGGGACGGACGGACGGGGCCAAGGGTCCACACGACAAACAAATCACTGCTTTCGCAATTCGAAACGCCCTGGCCCAAATCATATTGTGTGCTAAATACACATGCTGGGCGCGGCGCGTTGCCAAGCTCGCCAGACAATTCGCGGACCGGGGGCCATTCAGCTAAAACTCTCGCGGTCATACCACTTGTATTCTTTCTATATACCAATATGTTTGTGTATACATATATATGTATGTATGTATGTATGTATGTATGCATGCATGCATGTATGTATGTATGTATGTATGTATGTATGTATATATGTATGTATGCATGCATGCATGCATGCATGCATGCATGTATGTATGTATGTATGTACGTATGTACGTGTGTTTGTGTGTACGTGTGTACGTATGTACGTATGTATGTATGAATGAATGTATGTATGTATGCATGTACACACATATATATATATATATATATATATGAAAGAGCGTGTTCTACCGCTGCTGGCGGAAAACCGGGGGGGTCACTACCGGTTCGAACCCCTCCACCCCCCCCCTCCGGAAAACCGGGGTGGATCACTACCGGTTCGAACCCCCCCCCCCCCCCCCAGCTCATCATGAAAAGGGGGGGGGTCACTACCGGTTCGAACCCCCCCCCCCCCTCGAAAACCGAGTGGGGGTGCGGACAGTGGTGGGGACGGTGTTGGTGGGGACAGTGGTGAGGGGACAGCGGGACAGTGGTGGGGACAGTGGGGGGACAGTGGGACAGTGGTGGGGACGGTAGTGGTGGGGACAGTGGTGGGGACAATGGTGGGAACAGGGGGGACAGTGGACAGTGGTGGGAACGGTGGTGGTGGGGACAGTGGTGTGGGGACAGTGGGAATGAGGTGGAAACACTGGGACAGTGGAGGGTACAATGGTGGTGGGGACACTGGTAAAGGCGGTGGCGAGGACGGCGGTGGGACAATGGGACAGAGGTACAGTGGGGACAGTGGTGGGGACAGTGGGGACAGTGGTGGGAACAGTGGGACAGCTCAGTGGGACAGCGGAGGAGTCAGTGGGACAGTGGGGACAGTGGGGATAGGCAGTGGTTGGGTCCGTGGAGACAGTGGGGAGAGTGGAACCGTGGTGGGAACAGTTGTGGGAACAGTGGGGACAGTGCGACAGTGGTGGGGGCATTGGTGGGGACAATAGGGACGGTGGTGGAACCAGTGGGGACAGTGGTGGTGAGGACAGTGGTGCTGGGAACAACAGTGGGGGATGTGATGCGAGCGGTGGTAGGGACCGGGAGTCGTTTGCTGGCGGTGCGTGGCGTGGGGGGGGGGTCGAACCCGTAGTGGCCCCCCTCCGGTTTTCGAGGGGGGGGGGGGGGGTCCAACCGGTAGTGACCCCCCCCCGATTTCCGGATCCGGAGGGGGGGGGGGGGGGGAGGGGTTCGAACTGGTAGTGACCCCCCCGGCTTTCGAGAGGGAGGGGGGGGGGGGGTGGGGGGGAGGGGGGGGGGGGGGGAGGGGTTAGGGGAGGGGGGGGGTTTTTAGGGGGGGGGGCGGGGGGGGGAGGGGTTCCGGCAGGGGGGGGGGGGGGGGGGGGATTTTCGGAGGGGGGGGAGACCCCCGGGTTCCGGAGGAAAACGTTGGCAATTTTCCACAGTAAAGCGGCGGTGGATCACGCTCTCTCTCTCTCTCTCTCTCTCTCTCACATATATATATATATATATATATATACATGCGCATGTGTATAAGCAACAACAAACAAACTGAGCGGCGATGGCGGCGACATCTTGGGGCGGGGCGGTCTATCAATCACCGCGGCATCTTTTGTACATGCGTCGGCCCAAGTGCCCTCCTGGTCACCCACCCGGTTTGGACAGCTGGGTCACCGGCCTCGTCCAGATGAGCGCTTACTTGATGCGTGCCCCAAGTTCGCGGGGTCCCCGCTTTGATCCTATGTCACTGGTCCGACTGGGCCGCGTTGCCGCTGGAAGTCTTGAGCATGCCCCTGGAGCACCAGATCAACGCAGAGCAATAGAGACACACACACACATTGATACAACCGTCCGATTCACGAGGGGGGGTATGGCCCTGGTGCTCCACCGCGCGTTCGCGCCCATGATGTTCCGAAAGTACTGCTGTTTGAGGAAAGCCCCCTCGACATGGACCCCATCTTACATGTGGCAAATTTGCGTCCGCCGTCAGCGGCAGCCCAGCCCCCTCGCGCCTCAACGTCTGTCTTGGGGTCCAGGACCGAACCGTCAGAGAAAACCTGTGGCATCGCGCTACAAAAAAACGGGCAGCGTGCCCCGTCCTGGTCGACATGCCTCACAAAGTCTCAAATCGGGGCCTCCAACTCCGCTTCCGGCACAGGGATCCACGGGATGTCGAACAGCGTGTCCGACTCTCCTGCGGCGATGGCATCGCCAAGCAGGTCCACATCCTGTTCGAATCGGACTGCGATCACATGGGGGCAGGTCCAAATCCTGCGCCGTGTCGCATCAACTAAAGGGAAATACTTCCAGTTGGGAGTTAACTCGCGCCCCCAACGGCGGAGCGAGGCCGCCGACGCACACATGCG